GTTCCAGCAAAGCCTAGACCCAAGGAGCAGCAGCACCAGCATGGCTGCTAAAATCCAGCAGCAGAAAGTGACACCAGGCACATGAGAGTGAATCTTGAGCTCAGGACTAATGGTGGCTTCTTTCTTGTCCAGTGTGAAAGGTTATCTTTCTCAAAGCACCAGCTATCTTCTTGGCCCTCCCTCGTGCTGTAGCAAGCAGGCTATTAGCTGCTAACATATAAGGCAAAACCTTGCCAGCCTTCTTCAAATAGAAACACAAATTGGAGAAGAGAAAGAAGTGAAATGGAACAAGGCAACAGATGGTTTTAGTTTAGAAAAGAGGAACAGAATTGTTCGAGAGCCTTGCCCGCATTTGTGTCAGTTATGTCACAACCCTTAAGATTCAGCTTCTCTCTACCACACAGTTTACAAATCATGGGGTCAAGAAAGAAGTTTTTGTTAAAATGAACAATTTGTTCCTTTAGTTCACAAATATGAGTTATTTCTGATAATCTACTGACAAAAGCAAGGCAAATCTAAACAAATAATAAAACAAAACACATCTTCAGCTCTGCTTCACTCCAATTAAAAGTTTCCAGGTGTCTTACTGAGCAAGTGGGATCCTGTTCCATCAGTGAATAAACCTCATTACTCTGATCCAGGTACTGATCCACGCACCACCACTGCAGTGGTCTCAACAGATTTAGGGGACACTGCTCCAGAGGGAGTGACACTGCACTGGTTTGGTGTGGAGAGCCTTTATTGCTTATGGTGATGAGCAGGATGCAGGAACGAAAGAGTGAAAAAAATCATGAAAGAAAAATAGTCATAGGAGCTGGAAAAAAAAGAAATCCAGCATGAAATTTATAGAGCTAACAAAGGGTTTGGTGTATATTTGCTGATAAGCATAATAACTTGACAAAGAAATACTAAAGAGGCAAAGGGGTTTGATAACACACTGGACTGTTTTCAGTGTTCAGTCCCATCATAACGTGCAGCTGAGACAAAGCTTTTCAGGGAAGAGAAGAAGGTCTATCTGTACCATCCACTGCAACTGTAAGGGTTAACCTTAAGGGTTAACTGTGGTTGGGTAATATGAAAAAGCAGCAGCATTTTACACTATTTCTGGTCACACCCAGCAATATCTGCTCCCCATTTTCAGCAGCCTCACAGCCTCCTGATTTTCTCTCTGAATTATCAGGGATGACAACAAGAGTCTTCTCCACTCCTCACTTTGACTGATCTTTCTAATTAGGAGCACTGAACAAACAGATCTGAGAAACAGCCTGGCAGCAGCCAGCACCCTTGGTTCCCTGCACGCAGGGCATGGAAAAAGCTCTGCTCTCCCAGGGACAACACAAAAGCTACAACCAATGAGTCAGCATTAGCCCAAGAACTGTTCTCCAGGGAATCTGAGACAACTCCTCCATGCATACTTGCCTATTCCTCTGCAAAGACAACAAAAAATACTCCTTGAAACAATTCCCTACCTTTGATAAATATATACCTTCCATCAACTAATGAGTAAACAGCACTGTCAAACTTTGCCTTGTGATCCACACCTATGGCCACATCCAGGGTGAAGCCAATACTGAAATGTGGGGTTTTGTGTAACAGCTGCACTCTGTGTCATGAAGACATGGCATTTCATTAAGCACAGGGTAATGGCTTGATTCCCTTAGGGACTCACTGCTGGAAAATAGAACATCTCCTTTCATAAATAGGCAAGGTCACCATGTGCCACACTTCCCTCAATGCATACGTTCAGTTTGGAGTTGATGCTGAGATAATTGAGTATCTGTTTATTATACATTTCATATTAAAGCAATAATGAATCTTCATGTAAAACTAGTTTTACAAGATCTGAGGAAAATGAACATTGTACTACCATCTGTTCACCCACTCCAGAATAGAGTGGAAGAACTCTGATTTATGCCCAAATTAGTTTTTATATTTTATTGTCCACGTTTGACTTAGAATTTGAAAAATTCCAGGTAAGAAACATTTTAAAAGGACAAACTAAGGCATTTTCGCCCCTTCAAACGTCATCATCACTTTGTGACTTACAACTGCTTTTTTATTTAACAGGAGACATCTTCCAGCACATTCACATGTACACACTGTGAACAAGACAGTTCACAAATGTGACACCTCAGAGTTTAAACCTCTGCAGATAAAATCACAGAAACCACAAAAATTTCAGAGATATATGGAGTGATCAAAAATGATAGGCAGTTTCTGTCAAAATGTTGTTAAGTCCTATCAAATATTAGGACTCTCCACAGGACCTTACCTGAAGAACTTAATCATTATGAAGTTCAACTAATTCCTGCCAATCTATTTAGGTACTTTCATGTTATTTCATCCCAAATACCATTTTTACCTCTTTGTTTAGGATACTTAGAAGCTGGCAACCTGTTTTTCTCTATTCCTGTGGTTCCTGGGATATGAAAACAAGAAATTCCAGAGGACAATACTGGGCCAAAGCATAATATAAAGAAGAAAGAGTTCAAAGTGAATGTGTGATCAGTCAGTAGAGAAGGTAGACTTTTGAATTCTACCCTATGTAAAGTATTTTCTCCTAAATCCAGATACAAATACTGCATTACTTTAAGTCCAACAGACTCTGGGGAAAAGACTAATTATGCAGTAGAGGTCAGAAATTATATATGTACACATAAGAAGAGAAGGGATTTTATTCTGAATTTTCTGTGGTTACTCAAACACCTGCATTCTTCATCAGGGATTATGATCAGAAATGTCAAATCCAAAAGTTGCCTGAAGACCTGGAATAAGCTTTTGCTGCATTTTTATTTGTTCTATAGCTCAGGGGTTTCCCAAACTGGAGAATACAAACCACAGTTGTAAATGCAAGTGTAGTCTCTAGATTGTGAATGACCAATTAGTTAGCTTAAAGGCAAACTTAACAGGAAACAGTTGGCAAAAATGTTAGGAATAATGTTTCGTGCCCTCTTCATCTGCCATGAAATTAACAGTTAACTGGAATTAACAGTTTAACTTCTAGAAAAATATAGGCTGTTAACATTTTCATATGGAAATAGCCTTTGAAGAGTTTGATTTCTGCCTTAGGGAAATATTTTTGCTCTATTTTAAAACAACCAGTTTCAAAAAGGCACCTTCTTCCTTCAGGGGACCTGAATGAGTTGTGGGCACACCCCTAGAATTTTTTTCCTTTCAAGGCTGCAGCAGTCTAACTTAGAGACTTGTCTCCTTCTTTTGTTAATTTGAAATGTGTTGAATGAAGCTGTCAGAGGTTCAAGGGAAGGTTATCCAGACCTGTTTGATGTTGGCATGTGTGAAACTGCTGACACATGCTATGAAAAAAACCAGTACATTTAGTATGGCTGCAACAATAAAAGAGCTGCTAAGGAACCTCACCTAGAGCTAACACCACCATTAAACTGTGCTGGCCAACTGAAGAGATAAGCTAGTAATATTTATACAGAAAATGCAAACAAAGCTTATAGGAGTCCTGAAAAAGAGCTAGATTTGTAATTTTCTAAGTGGTTTATTTAAAAAAAAAAAAAGGAAAAAAAGCACATTTGGGATTTCGTTGTTCGGTGATGAAAATCATTACCCATGGTCTTTAGTGATGAAAGCTGTACAAACACCTGAAAAATGTTCATTGGAAAGTAATGTAAACCTGTGCACCTGAAAGACCTGCTAAGAACAGCCAATGCAATGGTTTCCTTTTATATTCCTCATTTTCCTGAAAATGAAAATAACCTACCCCCTGCCGAAAACACACACACACACAAAATCAAACCCTGTGGTTGGACTCACTTAAAAATTTTCTAGCTTGAAGCCTCAGAATGTTAGGAGGAAAAATGCATGCCTTCTCCCAGACCTGCTTGCCTCTAAGCAAGTTATCTACAGACCTATTTTACCTCTAACTCCAGTAGAAGATCAAGGAGCACTTTTCAGTTAAGTCTTTTTCAGAGTTTTAGGCCAATACTCTAAAGATATTTCCACATTTATCAGACCAATTCCAAATAATTCCTTGCCCACTAGGGCCAGAACTGTCCCTTCCCCTCGTTTCACATCAGCTATGGACACATTCACACCAGCAGCAACAATTACCTTGAACTATGGCACTTATCATAGCTGGAGGAGACCAAACAAGTTCGTGACCTCACCACTGGCCTAATCTTCTGAGGACCTTGAGGTCCTCAGGTCAAGTCCACTCTAGATAAATGGACTAGAAATTTCTCCTTACAAAGCTTTACATGAAATGCAGCAAAGGGCTTTGACATCCTTCTTGATACTAGAGGTTTGGATTTTCTCAGCTGGGTGGAAGGCTAAAAGCTCAACAGAAACATGCCACATGGGTGGAAGTCATACAGGTCTGTTCTTCATACCACAGGTCTGTCTTAGGTGTCATGGTCTGCTGCAAGCAACTTTGGAAAACACCCTTTTCAAATGCAGCAGTATCTCCTGACTTGGTAAGTAAGGTCAAAGTGGAGCTGACATCAGAAGATGATGGGTGTCTCATTGTACTGCAGTAATGCAGAACCTGTTATATATTGTCACCAGGCTTTGTCTGACAATATCAATTTAATTCCCAGATAAGGTCAAGGAGTACAGTGTGATGGACTCACACTCAGGTTTTATTTTTTAATGCAAATGTTTGAATTTTAAGTTTTGAAACTGGGGGAAGAAAAAATGTTCATGAGCACAAAATGTTGCTCCTCTTGCTAAAAGAAAATTTGCTAAGGTAACACGCTTTTGAAAAAAATAATCCTGACCAAAAATCAATGCAGAAAGGAAGAAAAACAATTATATCACTACTGTGTAAAATGTTGTATCACCTATCAAAATCAGACAGATACAGGTTTGCTCATATATATTTTTTTTTTGTTTGCTTGCTTTAGACACAACAAAAATATACAATGGTTACAGCAGAAGATGGTATTTTCTTCTTCATGAAGTGAGTTTAACAAAAGTCCTTTGCTTCACCCAGCTAAATGGATTTCAGATTAGAATAAAATACAGAAACTTACCTTGCATTTCAACATGTTGGCCACTCTCTCTTGCATTGATTGTCCAGCCTTTGGCCTGACAAGTATATAAACTGCTTTCACTTCAGGGCTGGAGCGCAGAAGCTTTTCCACCAGTACTTTGCCCATGAAACCCGTAGCTCCTGTAATAAGTACGGTCTTTCCATTGTAATAAGCTGAGACTGAAGACATGGTGCTGTCTTGTTCTGTTCTTCCTTTAACTTCCTGCAGGAGGTACCTGAGGAGACACAGAAATAAAGCTTTAAGGGCTTTTGAGTCAAGACATAGATCAGTTATTTGGGAGCTATAGCCTGAGACAACCTTTTCTAGTCAGCTAGAGCACCTCACATTAGTTCAGTCAATGGCAATTGTAAAGATTTTTTTTTTTTAAAAGCCTTTGTGTTAAAATAAACCACAAAATTTTAAAATAGTTAATCTGACAAGCTTAAAAAATCAAGCTCAGTCTTGTCCTCCAGATCATATCATAGGTACACCCAGCAGTGATGTTTAGAACATAACTTGTGCTGTCCAAGTCTCCTAGCAGTAGATGCTCACTGCAGTGTTGTATGGCATTTATCTACTACACTGTGAAGTGCCAGCCATGTAGATATCCCATTTTTCATAAAAGCCAAAGTAGAAACAGATCTCCTCACAAACACTGCAGGTAAAAATGCCTTGAGTTCCACTTTAATTCCACTGTGCCAAGCTGTTGAATTTCCTGTCAGGCACTGCTCACTTGCCAGTGTGCTCAGTCTTTTCCTGTTGTCTTGGCTTGGGATAAAACCATGAAGAAAGTTCTTCTTCATGGAAGACACAGTGCAATGACATTGCTCTGCAAGACTGCAATATTGTGCTCCTGTGTGTAGGTCATCACCCTTTATTGGCTGCTAAGGCCAAAGTACATCCCACTTAACTCTAAGGAGCATAGATGTTATATGCTTCCTCTTCAGAGTTTAGGTTGTTTGAACTGCCCTTTGGTGATCCATTGACTATACAAGGGGGCTGACAGGACTAGGCTCCCACATGAAGTGTCCCAGTTAAGAATTTTAATTAGATACAATGGTTTCAGGCCTACATGTCCCCAGCCATCCTGATTCAAAATCTATCAAATGACCAACAAGGCTGAACCAAATCCTCTTAGAAAAGTCCCTCTATTAGACTAACAGAAAGAAAAAAAAAACCTTCCTATCTTTGAAGTGCTGCAGATCACAGCATGCACACTTACATTGCAAAGGAAAGACTCAAAAATATAAATAAATGTCCTGAAAAAAGCCTACTACATTTGAAACATAAAGAAACATGAACAGCAGAACACTGTCAATCAAGTATTCAAGAGCCAGGACAATGTTCTCCAGGTACCCCAGAAAATCTTTTCTTCCTGAAGAGGCTTCAGAAACACTGTTGGCCATTTGAAGTTTCTCAACACAACATGAGTCAGCTGCTAATAAAATGCAAATACATCACAACAGAAATACAGCATTCACTGCATTTTTGCAGTCTTTTTTTGGGGACAGTGGAGTGGCCTAACAGGGCAAAAAGTGTGAGCCTTCATACAAGAACATCTTATATAATGTGGTTTTGGCTTGGACTAACACAAATGAACAACAACAAAGAGTTTACAGTGCCATAAGAACATTACCTACATGTGATGGTAGGTAAAATTCCCTTCACCACATGGGACCATGAGCAAAATACAGCTTGCCCTGTAGCTGTGGTGAGGTGTGAGGTGTCCTACTCCAGAATACTCACATAAATGAAAGATTCAAGCCCTACAAAACACTGTTCTTTGCCAGCACTGCCTGGGACTGCAGTACAGAGCCTCCAACCCATGAAGAGCCTCACATTTCTGTATCTGTAATGAATCATCAGGTGTGTCACCCAATTTAGAAAGTGGGTCAAGCAGAATAACTTCTGAAGGACACTATTTTAACAAATTAATAGCTGTGGGTATTCTGGCTCAGTGAATTCAGATATTAGCCTACTTTCAGATACGGCCTAGATCACAAATTATTACAAGAATGTTAACAGGCTTGTCTAGGCCTATTAAAAATGTGTTCTTATGGAAGAGCTGGCCACTTGGGAAGTTAAACAAACAAGTTAAACTATTAGATAATTAACTTATTTATAACAAAATGTCACATCTCATTCAAGTTCAGAAATAAGGAGTGATATTGGAAGACAGGAACTTGCAGAACCTGAAAGTGTGTGAAAGCCTGTGCCAGTCCAAAAGGAGATTATTCATTTAGCCAGATGAAAACAGAAAAGACAAAAGACTTAAAAAATTTGGTATGACACATGATTTGCAAAGCGGAAACATTAATGAAAGAAATCCTTAGTCACTACATGCCATACAAACTACAGTGAACATAAGACCACTTCCAGTCACTGGATACTTGCTTTGAAGAATATTCAGAATATTGTATCTACCTCAGCTCAGCTAATATTCTGCTTGAAAAATGGTCCTTTTATAAAGTACTTTCCACCACAAATTGGAGATTACCACAGTGTTTAAGAGGAATTACTCTCCTTCAGTAGTACAGAACACTTCCAACATGCATCACTAATCATTAGTAATTTGCATTACAGTCGCAGTCTACTGCAAAAATACCTGTTAAGATTTCAGAATGTGGACATCAGTTTATTATGGTGTTTCATTTGGGTTCTCTGTTGGAGTTAACCAAATGGGGCTTCATTTGTTTTGATCAGACACTTTATGGCTTACACAATAGTAAAACTAAGTAAATGAAATTAAAAATCACACTACTTTAAAATGTCTCCAGAATTAGCCATGCAGTGCAGTCAGATTTCATTATGTATTTCTGGCAAGGACTGCATAAGCATAACTGACAGTTTTTCCTCGTGTAGTCTGAGACTATTTTGAACATTTGACTCCAAAAAGTCAGGAAAACAACTGCATCTCTCAAATCATTCTGATACGATGACAATGGAGACATCAAACACAGTCACATAAAAATGGACTTCTAAGGCAATCTGATGTTCCTCTTGCTTACTGTTTTAACCCTAGAAGGTTAAAAGAAAAGATAACAAAAACCACTTTGTATTTTCTATAATAAAGCAGTCCAAATCAGGCATTATATAGTTTGCAGGGCCAGCTTCAGACCTGGATCAGGTTGCTCAGGGCTCATCCACAATAAAAAGCCGTGAGGAATGAGATAGTTTTTGTTTATTATGGGATCAGATTTGTATCTCCTTGCAGTACTTCTTTTGTCTCCTTTCTTAAGCTAGATTTGTAAGAAAAGACAGTGATCTTTCACCTACCTGATGCCATGTTAATTATCAGCAAAGAAAATCTGTATATTTGTTTCATGCACAGAAGCAAATCAATGTTTGAGAACAAAAGCTACAGCAATGAACTCTACCATGTTCAGACAGACCCCTGAATATCCACTGTCCAAGCAAATTTAAAGAAGCTTTTACTATGTTCCAATTTCAAAAGCAGACTCCAGTTTATATGCAGGATTGCTAAAGTATATTCCTTTCAATTTAGTCATGGAATATTGACCTTTTTTTTTTTTAACTTTTCAAAATTATCTTTGTCTTTTGTATTTTTAGGAGTGTGATTTTATAATAGAATTTGTTCTCTGTTTTAATTGATTTTGTTTGGCCTTTGTGAACAAAGTAGCGAAGAAGTTACCAAGATTTTAAGGTTTTCTAAGGTCAAAGAATGTGGTCCAAGTAATGCCTCCTGACCTGACCCTTTGGACATCTACTTGAAAATACAAACAACAATATGCATTCCTTTTTGACCTTTTACACTCAGTCAAATGAAGAAAAAATTGATTCCTGCAGAAGCTTAAACTTTGCTTTTTATTTTGAGGAATAAATAGTCAATACTGAGCATTAGCCTAGTCAATTAAGCAGCAAGGGTTTAAGACAAAACTATTCAGAGTCTGAACCATGGTCAGCAGCTGCAGTGAGCTGACCCTTACTGAGGTGAAGGATAAAGACTATTTCAGAGCCTGAGGTTTTCACTCTCTTCCAGAACTGAATGGAGCTGAGAAAGCCCCTGAATGGTGGAAAAAAGTCCACAGAAGGGCTTCTTGAAGCCAAACTCAAGTGGGTATTTACAAGCAACTCTGACAGTGTAAGCACTAATCAGAGCAGGAAAGTAATCACTGATGCCATCTGAATTACTGCATGAAACATCTTTGCAGCAGTTATACATCTCACTGATGACGACTTATCTCCAAATGTAGTGTGAAAAAAACACCTTTTGGACAGCCAGCCAAGAATCCCACTGAGCATCTCTGCAGAAACAAGCACACAAGCTGCTTTGAGGGTAAAGCTCTGTTAGTGATGCCTTAACAGCCTCCCCTGGATCAGACATAAAGGACAATCCACAGTGCTGCATTACAAACAAAGCCATGATCTCGTGTCAGCAGCATATGCCAAAGGACAAGCAAAGGGAACAGTGGGAATCCTACCAACCTAATCCTTCCCTCCTGCAAAAGAAAACATTCATATCCCTGAAAGACTAAAAGAGAGCTTTCCCACTATCAGCAAATAGAACTGAGCTGATATTGAACAAAACAACTAATACACTGTCCTCATCTTCCACGTAATTCAACCATGCCAAATTTACACTTAGGAGTACAATGGTGTAATGCTGAGAGTTAAGACTCCTATCAAACTCATAGAAATGGGGTGGAAAATGTATATCTGAATTTCACTGGTTGCTGGCACTGCTGCTGCCCAGAGCAGGTCCATGGTTGCAGGGTGTTAACATGAGATGGCAAAATGGAGCATGAGCAATGAACAATGGGTAGACTGCAACAGGTTAGTGTTTCACTATGGTTTGGATCACCTACTCAACTAGGGCAGCCATTTCAGGAGCTTATCTGTTGAGATATTGGCCTTTTCAACTCAACAGCACCAAAAAAAATAATTAAAAATTAAAATTTCCCTTTTTTCTGCAAGAGCAAAGGACTGTATGCCTGTAAATATACACCTAGACTCACAAACTGCCTCTCTGGCATCTCCTTCTGTTTAGTCTGGTTTTGATGAATTGTCTCATATCTGGTTCATTTTCACAAGTATAAGCAGGGATGTAATTTCTCTAAGCAATAGGGCCAAACTGTTCATTTTAGACATCATATTAAATGTAAAAACCCTGTTTTAAGTAAAATTAATTTAATGAGAAGTAACATTTTTTGAAACAAAGCTACAGACAG